TACTAAATGGGAAGAGTGACAACCCAGCCCTTTGGGACTTTCTCATGAGATAGACAGACTTGGCTGCCAAAGCCATTTTGTTGAGCCAGAGCCATCTTGTGGAATGCATGTGTTGGGTACAGGATATCCACAGGAAAACCAGGAATAGGCACCTCATTTAGTCAGGTCTCAAGAGTTGGACGGGATATAACCGGACTTCATTCTTCCAATCAGAAACAAAGCTTACCATGAAGCTTAATGAAACTTTAAGAGTCCGATCCCCTCCCTTGCGCAGAACCCTTCTAGGGCCTTGTACCTAATTCTATAACTTCTTTACTCCTTAACTTAAAGAGGAACCCCAGATGATAAACATGAGTCCTCACAAAACCTGGAGACTTCCTTCCCTCCTTTCAGTCAGCAGGACTTTTAACCTCAACTCCCAAGAGTGATCAGGAACATTCAAGAGCGATAAGTTGGAGAAACAGTCTTAAATAACCAATACTGACTCACCACTGCCCAGAGCAGTGCTCACATTAGGGACTGACACGAAATACAAGAGCAGGGGGCACCTGGCTGGCTCAGTCAGTTAAACGTCCGACTCTTGGTTTTGGCTCAAGTCATGATCTCCCAGTTGGTTGTGGATCAAGCCCTGCATTGGGCTCTCTGCTCAGTGCAGAGTCTGCTTCAGGTTCTCTCCCTCTCCCCCTCCACCACCTCGAATGAATAAATTTACAAAAAATACTACAGAGAATGGTTCCCCTTCCTCCGAACTGGGGAGAAGGGATAAAAATATATGAAATGACTTAGCAGACGTAAGAAAGCTACCCATAAGCTAGGACAAAATAATAGGCAGCAAGTTGAACGCCTAAGCCAATTAGCTAAGTGCTGAGGGAATCATTAGTGCCAGACCAGGCCAGCTGAGGAATGTTTGGAGGAAGTGAGGTCTACCTGGAGGTTAAAGCAGATGGTGAAGAAGACAGTATTGCCAGGAGGCAGGCAGGGTCAAGGGCAAACCTCATATACCAGAGAATAAAAGTGAAAAACCTCATATACCAGAGAATAAAAGTGAAAAAGCCTCTGGTGATAGTTCGCAGTTATCTATTACAAAAACCCTTTAGAGATAATATTTTGAGCTCTGAAAATAAGCTCTGGAGCCTGTGCCCCGGATCTAAAGGAAATCAGACTGCAAACCAACTTTCTAATCAACTCCTTCCTTCTGTTACATTTACAGTCTTTTTTAGTTGGATCTTGTGATACTTGATGCCTGATTTGGTGCGTGGTGGGAGGCGAAGGGAGAGGGATTGGATGTGGAATCAGATAGAGAACGTTTATGGTGGTGTAGTTTATTTGCTCCCAGATAATTGTATTTTTGAGGCCAATTTAAGGTAAATGGGAAGGGAAGAGAGAAGTCAAGGGGTCTGAGGGGCACCTGGCCAGCTCGGTAGGTGGAGTGTGTAACTTTTGATCTCCGAGTTGTGAGTTTGAGCCTCACAGTGGGTATAGAGATGACTTAAAAAAACACAAATCTTTAAAGATTTCTTTATTTTAGAAAAAGGGAGGAGCAGAGGGAGAGGGAGAATCTTCAGCAGACTCCATGCTGAGCATGGAGCCTGATGTGGGGCTCGATCTCACAACCCTGAGATCACGACCTGAGCCAAAACTGAAGGTCGGACGCTCAACTGACTGAGCCATCCAGGTGCTCCCCGCCCAAAATACAAATCTTTAAAAAAAATAAAGGGAGCTGAGACTCTGCAGTCTCCTGGGAGTGTGCATAACCCAACCTATCTTTTTTTTTTTTTTTTAAGATTTTATTTATTTATTTGACAGACAGAGATCACAGGTAGGCAGAGAGGCAGGCAGAGAGAGAGGAAGGGAAGCAGGCTCCTTGCTGATCCTACCCTGGGATCATGACCTGAGCCAAAGGCAGAGGCTTTTACCCACTGAGCCACCCAGGCGCCCCCCCAAACTGTCTTCTTCAAAGACTCTGATCTCTGAGAAGGCCTGGAGGTGGGGGTGGGGGCTGTGGTGCAAACTGTTCCTAGCAAGGCACTGCTCTAGATACCAAATGGTTCTCCAAGGCACCTGTGATCAGATGACCTGGCAGAAGCCAAGTTCATTTTTGTGAGACCCTGCGTGCATGTCAGGCTCAGCGTTTGCTGAGTAATGAGAGTGATGACCAAGACACACCTGTTCTCCTTAGGAAACTTCTCTAGTTTAGAGAGGTGGACATGTGTAACAAATGAAAAATGCCAGCCTGAGTATTCCATAGGCCAAAAAGCCAAATCTTCTGTCTTTCACAGTGACCTTTTATTTATTTTTTATTTTTTTAAGAGATTTTATTTATTTATTTGACAGAGACATAGCAAGAGAGGGAACACAGTAGCAGGAGTGGGAGAGGGAGAAGCAGGCTTCCCCCCGAGCAGGGAGCCCAATGTGGGGCTCGATGTGGGGCTTGATCCCATGACCCTGGCCTGAGCCGAAGGCAGATGCTTAATGACTGAGCCATCCGGGTACCCCTCACAGTGATCTTTTAAAAGGGAAATAATGAGAGTAGCTCTGTTTGTTTCCCAAGACATTCCCTTAAAAGATGAGCAGGGCTTGCCGCACATCTGAGATCCCTCATTCATACACATATCTAACTCCTCCTTTTTAGGAAACAGCTTGATTGAGGTATAAATTACATACCACAGAATTGACTTATTATATATTTATAACCATGTGATTTCCTTTAGTAAGTTTCTAGATTTGTGCAACCATCACCACATTCCAGTTGTGGGTCCTTTCTGTCCTCCCCAAAAGTTTCACTGTGCCTGTTTTCAGGTAATCCTTGTTCCCATCCCAGCCCTAGGCAAGTACTGATCTCGTTTCTGTCTCTATAAATTTGCCTTTTCTGGACATTTCATATAAATGGAATCCTATAATACGTGGTCTCTTGCATCTGGCTTCTTTCACTTAGCATCATGTGTCTGAGGTCTATGTATGCTACTGCACATAGCAATAGTTGTTCCTTTTCGTTGCTGAATAGTATTCCACCTAAATTCTGTTTCGAGACAACAGTGAACAGCATGCAGGAGCCCTGGTCTCTGACCCTGTGTCTGATATCCCGAGTGCCCTCTGACCAGCCCTTCTCTTGTTTGGGCATCCATTTCTCCATCTGTAAAATCAGAGGACTGATCAGGAAGAGTCTCTAACATCTCTCTCAATTCTTCTTCTTCTTCTTCTTCTTCTTTTTTTAGATTTTATTCATTTATTTGAGAGAAAGAGAGAGAGAGAGAGAACATGAGTAGGTGGACAGGCAGAGGGAGAGAGAGAATCAGACTCTCCATGGAGCAGAGAGCCTAATGCAAAGCTCAATCCCAGGACCCCAAGATCATGACCCAAGCCGAAGGCAGATGCTTCAATGACTGAGCCACCCAGGCGCCCCCTCAATTCTTAAAAAAAAAAAAAAAAATCTACTTTGTATTTTTCATGGAGTGTCACTAGGACCAGTATTCCAAAATTTTGACGTCTCTGATCCCGTATTTACCCTTTACCTGTTTTAGAACTTCTACCATATCCTATATGGTTAAGGATTAGGAATCTTCGTTTTAAATAGCTTGCCATTTAGCAGGGAAGTTTGATTCCCACTGAGAGGAAGAGTGAAGGAGTGAATGTCATCCAGTCTGAAAGACAGAAAATGAGCACTTGAGATAAGTAAGCCAGAAGACAGGAAGTGGTGGGCCACAGCAGGGGATGATATGTGTCAGAGGCAGCCCCCAAGGTCGAAATCCAGGCCATCGCGTTACCTTGGGAGTAAGAGGGAAGGGAGAGAGGGAGAGAGAGGCCACCACAGTGGGAGAAGTGTTGAGGGCTGGGACCCCTCCCTACTCTGTTCCCATAACCTCATTCATTCCCTCAACCCTCCTTCCCCATCCCTCTCCGGCTGCTCTGCTCCTTCAGTTCTGACCCCATTTCCTCAGGATCTCATTCCCTGAGGAGCCGGACCTGACATTTCAGACAGAGGCTGAGGAAAGGAGGTAGGTCGGAAAGAGACACAGTGTGTCTGTGTCATCTTATGTTCTGTTTTATTATTTGGGAACCTGAAGCCCAAAGACGTAAGCACTTGGACATTTACCTGAAAGTGCAGAGACAGTCCGCCAGGTACCCAGGAATATCAAGAGCTCTCTATTCTCTGAACAATTGCTATGAAGTGTCAGGTTTTGGAGGGTAAAAATGGTGGTCTGGAATTCCCATGCTTGTTGGGTGAGGGTCAAGGTGCCCTGGAAATTGGGCCAGACAGCCCCATCAGAACTAAAAACCTTCTCTTGGTTATTAGGACCCCAGCTTTCTCTTAATTCAATAGACAGCAGGATAAGACCTCCTTGTTGATCCTCTGATCTGCTAGAATTCCCTTCAGTCTTTGGTCGTGGTACTCCCTGAGACTCCTGCAAAGTATGGCCATACTTCGTGTATGTAGTCCTCCACTTTTGCTGTTTTCGAGTGCCTGCCTCTGACCCAAACTCTCTGAAGGCAGGAACCATGTCAGGTCTCAATCAGATAGCATCTAGCCGGGTACCATTTCTGCATACAGGCTTCAAGGCCTGCTGGGTTGTGACTTCCAGCATAGGGACCATGTCTCTGAACATTATTGTCATTCCTTAGTGCCCAGCTCTGTGTCCAGTACCTAGTGATCATCTGAATAAATTTGTGCTGAGTGAATTAATAACTATCATGTTGATAAGGATGAAAGGGGGAACAGTAACAAAGGGTTGTTTGTTTGTTTGTTTTGCAAGCTACAAGATGCTTTGTAAGGCAAGGCATCTCCGTTAGCAGCACACAGCCTCCTCAAAGCCATGGTTTTCAGTGGAGGAAAAAGACAGGGGTTTATCTTCAGATGAGGTCTTTATCCCCTCCATCAAGCCCATGGCAGGAGAAGCTATCGGTGATAGAGAAGGGAATAAGAGACAGCTGCTTGGGCATGATACTTGTGTAAGGAGGAGACGGGGATCTCCTATGCAGGCTTGCCTTCTCACTCCAGCTAGGTCAACTCGAGTGTCTCCTGCCAACAACTTATCTGGAAGGACCATGACTCTCTGGACTCAGAAGATCCAATTCTTCAGCTGTGCCATCTCCACTGGTTCTTCTTCCACTGTCCTGGTCCTCAGTTCCTGGTGTTTTGGCTTTAGGACAAAATCTAAACACCGTGTCCTCGAGACTATCCACGTTAGCCTTCTCTCCAACAGAAGAATGCATCTGCCTACTACTATGCCATATTATCTTTAGAACCACTCTGTGAGGTTAATGGAGGTGATTTTTGCAGAGAGAAAGGACTCCACCTGCCCAAAGCATTTCAAGATTCGTCATTTAGGGCTTTGCCCTCTAATACACACTGTATGGCTTAACCAATAAAAATTACCCATCATCTCCTAAGAATGACTGAGAATTTACATGTTGAGGGGTCCCAAAATGGATCTCAGGAAAGAACAGATTTCAAGAGATCAACTAGCCATCCTTTGGCTCTTAGGTAGGCTAATGGTCTAGAAGTTGAGTGTTGGTTGGGAAAGTACTTCAATTTGGAGTCAAAAGACCTCGGATATAAATCCTGGGTCTGCCATTTACTGAGTGGATGATTTGGAGGAAGTCACCTAACATCTGTGAGTTAGCCTTCTATAAAACAGGGATAATAATGTCTGTGGTTTCGTTTTTTGGTTTTGTTTTGTTTTTTTTTTTTTTTTACTTTACATACCCATTGTGAAAATTAAATGAGATGATGTATATGAAAGTTGTAAAGTACTAAGCAAGTGTTCATTTTAACGTCTCAGGCAAATTTGCATCTTTGGAGACTCTTTATGTAAAATACAAATAGTAATCCATCTGTGTTCATAACAAAGTTTTACAAGAATAGGAGTTCAGGTCTGGTGCCTGACTGCCTGAATAACCTTGGGCATGTTATTTCTTTCTGAAACCTCATTGAAGAGATCTCACTGAAGACCACACCATCTCATAGGTGTGGTCATGAGCATTAAATGAGGGAACATACACACGTACCTGGTGTAAAGAAAAAAACCAGTGAATGTTATAGCTGCTACCATTGCTTATTTTATTAATGGAGAGATGGGGGCAGGGTGGTCCAATAAGATCTGATAGAGATCTTTTGATCCTTTTGAGCTAGAAATCAAAAGGACTCACTTTTTTGGGCCTCGGTTTTCCTACTTGCTCTGTAATAAAAATCTACGGTTTTCTTCTTCCAGATTGTCGTAAGAGTTAAAAAAAAGAAAAAAGTATATAAAAGTATATGAAGTATATGAAGACTTTGAACTGATTGCACTTGAAGAACATTATAAATTGCCAGATTTTTAAAAAATGCTCTATTATTTATTTATTTTATTTTATTTTATTTTTTAAATTAACATATAATGTTTTATTAGCCCCAGGGGTAAAGGTCTGTGAATCGCCTGGTTTACACACTTCACAGCACTCACCATAGCACATACCTTCCCCAATGTCTATAGCAAGATTTTTTTTTTAAGAACTGAATTAAGTTTATAAAGACTATTACTCTTTATTATCCATCAGTTTTTTTTGATGCCTATCTGCCAGTATTAAAGTCATCCTCTTCATGGAAAAGGAATACAGCATTTCCCAGACAATAAAAAAGATTTCAAATGTCAGATTTTTTTTTTTTAAGATTTTATTTATTTATTTGGCAGAGAGAGAGAGATCACAAGCAGGCGGAGAGGCAGGCAGAGGGGGAGGGGGGAAGCAGGCGCCTCTGCTGAACAGAGAGCCCGACACCTGGCTTGATCCCAGGACCCTAAGACCAGGACCAGAGCTGAAGGTGGAGGCTTAACCCACTGAGCCACCCAGGCACCCCTCAAATGTCAGATCTTGATGTAAACCCTTAGAATCTGCTAGAGCACATACTCTTTGTTCACAAAGAAAACCATACTTCACAGGATGTTCCATTGCCTCACATTTGTTGTGCGTATGTAGATTGATTTTAATATTCAGCCAGTGCTTAAATTTCTACTTCGGATATTAAGTGCTTTCAATAGGTAATCACAGAATGACCTCTCCTTGCCTTGCAGGATGCTCCCAGATTACCTCCTTTTCTCTGATTAGCTAAGATGGCTTCAGGGAATACCTTCATTTTAACATTAAAGTGGGCAAAAACAGAAATAGAAAGACAAATCTGTAGCAAGATCAAAAATAGAATTCATAGCTAAATATAAATCTGGAGGGAATTATGCAATTATTTGTATGGTCCCTTATGGCAGAGGATCCAGGGTTGATTGCCTTCTGTTTTTTCCTTATATAGAACAAAATGGTTAATAAATACCAAGAGTAATACTTTTTTTTTCTTTTGAATAGTAATAGTTTTTAATAGTAACTGAAATGCTGTTTTCCTTCCCAAATGTCCTCATATATATTACAGCATGTGATTTTTACAACTGCATGCATTCTCTTTGGGGACCATCTCATTGTAGGTCAGAGAGCACTGAACTGGGAAGACCAGGATTTGTTAATGGAGTCACTGTACAAATTTGGGCACGTTTCTCAGTCACTTTGTTCCTTCCACTCCGCTGAGCTAGACTTGGAATGGACGGCTCTGAAGGGAAATTCCCTGCTCCTTTTCAGTCTCAATATAATTTACAGGCTAGCGCAGGGTGTTTTTTGGGGGCGGGGGGAGTTGGACCCACACCAGCTAGGGACTTGGAAACGTGAAGACAGACAGATGTGAGTGTCACATGAGGCACGGTGGCCATTAAGTGCATGAATATAATGCAAATCGCATGCAAATATATGCAAACTTTGCATTAATTTGTAGAATCTTACTTTGGAGCTTTCGAGCAGCACTGAGATCCTATGAGGACTCACAGCTAATATTTTTAGGTTAAATCAAAAGTGATGCTTTTTGAAGTTATCGCTTTCTCGGTGCTTGCCGGGCTCAACTACTCAAAGTTTGATACTCTTCTCTACCCCCATAATGATTTCACTAGTGCTTGATTCCATCTTCCACCCGGCCCCACCCCCGCTTAGCCTGACGTCACGTGATAGTATATTTGCATACTACCTGGGACTGGGTGTGACGCTCCCCTTTTCTGCGTCTTCTCATTGGCGGCACCGGAGAACCAGCCCTCTTCCGGACGGACCAATCAGCGCCCCCTCGGACGGAGGAAAGCGGGAGGGGGCGGGATGAGGGTGGGGTCTTGGGTTGGATCGCTAGGCATATCGGCCAGTCATCCTCCGGAATGGAAAGAACAAGCCGGGAATTGGTTGGGGGGGCGGGGTCTGGGACTCTGTAGGCCAATGAGAGTTCTGGGCTGAGGGGGCCGGTCTCCGCCCCGCAGAGCAGATAAGCAGCAGCAGCGGGGGTTGGGGGGGCTGTGTGGGGCTCGCTGTGGGGCCGAGGCAGGCAGGCTGTCGGGCGGGCGATGGCGGGGGCCGCAGCGGGCGGCAGAGGCGGAGGTCCTTGGGGGCCGGGGCGCGGAGGGGCCGGGGGGCTCCGGCGGGGCTGCTCTCCCCCAGCCCCCGCCGGCTCCCCCCGGGCTGGGTTGCAGCCGCTCAGGGCCACGGTCCCGTTCCAGCTGCAGCAGCCGCACCAGCGCCGGGACGGGGGTGGCCGCGCAGGTGAGCCGGGCCTGGACCGGGTACCGGGGGGAGGAGCCGTTGGGGGAGGGGGGGCGCGTGATGGGGGGGAGGGGTACGGGGAGAAGCGTGAGGGGAAAGTGGATGGGAGCGAAGGAAGAGAAAGGGGGTCGCGCAGTGTCTGCGAGGGCGGAGGGAGCGAGAGCGAGGAGCGGTGAACGCAGGGTCCACCGCTGGGACAGAATGTGCAGGGAGTCGGGGCCAGGAGGTGAGGGGAGGGACATGGCAGACGGAGGCTGGCTTTGGGGGCGTAACCGAAAAGTGGGCAGAGGTGTCGTGTGGGGGTGAGTGGAAGATGCAGGGGTGGCAGCGAGGTGTGAGGAAGGAGTGAGTGGCGCGTGATGGGGGCGCCGTGTGCTGGCTGGCTCTGGGAGCGAGGAGCTGGTGGGCGCTGGAAGTCTGCACGGGGAGGGGGAGGGGCATGGAGGAGAGCCCCGTGGAGCCATGTGTTACTTCTCCAACTTGAGTTTGGCCCCGGCATCCCGCTCTACGGCTCTGGAGTTCATCCCCCTCAACCCCCCCGCCCCTTCACGTGCACTTCCCTATATTGCCACCTCCCAGAGCTGATTTCATCCAAGCCGTTGGAATAAGTTAGTTTAACGGCTTTTACTACGGTACAAACGCTCTACTCCGATTCCCTACATTCCTCTTGGTTGGCCCAGAAGTTGTATGTTCCCAGATCATTGACCTGCTTAATATGGCTGTCTCATTCCAGCCATCGTGTGCGTGTGTGTATGGGGCCTGGGCAGTTTGCCCCCGGCCTTTCTCTCCTACCCCCACCCGGGCTATTTAGTCCGGCATTGCCAGCCAGCGTGGCAGTGGGGTGAGCGCTACAGTCAAGTACACTGTGGCAAATAACCCCACTTTCTGAACAGCCCTGAAACGGCTTCTTAATAGCAGCTTGCCGTGCTGGGTGTGGGGAAACGAGGGAGGAGCAAGATTAACCTTGCTTTCACACTCAAAGCTGTGATGGATCCCCTGCAAAGGCAGGCGGTGAGAAATGGGAAAAGGAACCTACTTGCATGAGGAGGTTGGCAGTAAGTTTAAAGTGAGGCGTGCATTTGATTCACACCAGATGTGAAAAAGATCATTGCACACTTCCAAAGCTTCAGAGCCTACCAAATATAAAAGTCATGGTCTCCACCTTCTAATGGTTAATGACATTGTCCACACCAGAATTTCTCGAGCTTTTTGTAATTACTAGGCTTCACTCCCTCCTGAAAGTATAGCTGCTACAGTGCTTTTCTAGGTAGGAATGGGGTTAAGAGGGTCTCTGAGGTAGAAAGGCCAACTCTATCTGGACCTCGCTGTAAATGTTAACCTTGCATATCGGAATGCAGAAACTTGGTCAAATCTGGTAGCAAGGTGGTGACCAATTAGTCAAAGTATGCCTAGACTCTGGTGGTGGAGAGCAGAGCAATGCCCAGACTCATGCCTATCATGAGCTATAAAGCAAACCACAAGATTACAAACCTGTTGGTTTTGTTTGGATTTCCTTGGAGTCCAGGGAAGTTAGTAGTAACAGCAGGCACTAGAACCTTAGTCACTTTTAGTAGAAATCAACAGAAAGCCTGCCTATGCGATAGCTGGAAATCTATTTGCAGTCATATATTTTTTTTAAACAGTTTCATTTATTTATTTGACAGACAGAGATCACAAGCTGGCAGAGAGGCAGGCAGAGAGAGAGGAGGAAGCAGGCTTCCTGCTGAACAGAGCCTGATGCGGGGCTCCATCCCAGGATCCTGGGATCATGACCTGGGCCGAAGGCAGAGGCTTTAACCCACTGAGCCACCCAGGCGCCCCTGCAGTCATATTTTTTTAAAAAGATTTTATTTATTTATTTGACAAACAGAGATCACAAGTAGGCAGAGAGGGAGGCAGAGAGAGAGGGGAAAGCAGGCTGCCCACGGAGCAGAGAGCCCAATGTGGGGCTCGAACCCAGGACCCTGGGATCATGACCTAAGCTGAAGGCAGAGGCTTTAACCCACTGAGCCACCCAGGTACCCCTAGCAGTCATATTTTAAGGGCAGTTATTTTA